TCAAAAACAAACCGAAAACAAGCCACAGAAAACGCACAAGCAATTCCAAAGAAAAAACATCTAAAACCCACGCCGACCAGGTCAATCTGAGGTATTCGATTGAGCAGTTTCTTCGTGATATGATTTTCTCAAAGGCGCGATTGCTCAAGGGGGCCAGCGGCCGGACTTGATTCGGTGTTATTGGAGGGCGAACTATGCATCATCTATCCGAATTTAGCCATTTCCTCTAGTCACTTGCTTTGGGGATTGCGGTTTTCAGGGCTACGCTGAGTATGCACAGAGGTCAGGGCCGTAGGGTTAAATGAGAGTGACTAGTGACTAGTGACTAGTGCAGCCGAGTCAACATGGGGTGGGGCAATATCTGCCAGTCTCTTCGCGACGAAGCTGCAGAATTGGGCGACGCTGTGGAGGTTGCAGACCTTTACAGAACGCCAAGTGATGATGGTGAGGTTGAGACTGGGCATGACAGCCCGTGCATTCCGTGCTCCCCACAAACCTCAGATGCTTGGTGGGTCTTTCGTTTGAAGCGCGCAACGCGCAAACTGGGCCTGCAGCCCGACGCTGTTGCGCAGGGCACACCAACAACAATGCTGAGCGCTTGCAGTGGAATTTGCGCGGAAGCTCATGTCATGGAGGCTGGCTGCACCTGACCAGTATTTGTATTGCTGCCGCTAGCCTTGCCGCTGTCTGCCCTGGCAGGCGCTTGGTCTGCCTTTTCGCTTGGAAGGCGCGAGTGAGTGCAATGCAGACTTTCGCCGGTTGCTCTGCGCCAATGTATCTGTGGCCCACATTCACAAGGACATCCAGGGACAGATTTCAGGTAAGCCATGCTTGTTGCATCCAACAGCACTTACCTGCTCACCTCCTCCTTGTGATCTGCTGGTGCTGGGCCCACCATGCCCACCATTCTCCATACAAAGGAGGAAAAAGATTCGCTTCTGGTTCGGTCAAGGCTCATCCACTGTATGACATTACCTTCACGCATGCCAGGAATCTGACTACGTCAGGTGTACATGGCACTTGTGTGTTGGAGCAAGTGGAGGGTTTCGCTCGCGCGGAAGCAGATGAACGCCTCTCACCACTACAGAGGCAGGAGAGCGTGCTTGAATGATCCAGGAATACAACTAGTGACCCAGTGACTAGTGACTAATTTTCGGCCTTCTGTTTCCTGTTGAGCAGCTGCTCTTTTCTGTGTGGAGTGCGCGAGACCTGTGTGTGTCCGAGGTGCTGGCAGCATGTGTCAGGACTTTTCGTCATTCTATTCTATTCAGTTCTATTCCGTGTAAGTCTATTCTATTCTATTCT